TGTTTCAACTTTTCAGGTAGCATAACTTGAAATTTTCAAAAATTAGAAACTTGGAAAATTAAAAATTTGGATACGTAGGAAAAGAAAATTTGAGGATTTGGGAGTATGATAGCTAATCTCTAATTTTGCAAATCTCCAAATCCCTGAATCGCTAAATTCTCAAATTCCTAAATTTTGAAGTTCTAAAGTTTCTAACACCTCAAAATTCTCAAATCTTCAAATCACCAAATTCCTAAAATTCACAAATTTCAAATCTTTAAATTCTCAGGTCCCTATATCTCAAAATCCTCGAACCTTCAAGTTTCCAAATACCTAGATCTCTCAATTTTTTAATTCCCATATCTTCAAATTCCTAAATTCAAATTCTCCCAAATCCCCAAATCTTCAACTTCCCAAATCCCCAAATCTCCAAATCCTCAAATCCCCAAATCCCCAAATCTACAAATCCCCAAATCCCCAAATCCCCAAATCCCCAAATCCATATATCCGTAAATCCCAAAATTCTCAAACTCAAAACCCTTAAATCTCCAAGTTTCTCCATGCCTATATTATCCAAATAATAGAATTTAATCCTAAATATAAAAACAGAGTTTTTATTGTACATATATAATACATCTGTACTTTAGCACACTTAAGGAAACATTTACTACATTTTGTACTGTACTAATAGCAGAAAGGTAAGTCAAATATAGGACCAAAATTGGTTGTAAATTTCAACGTTCAGTTGGAAGATGGTACAATTAGTTTGTAGTCACTAATCGTAGAAGAACGTTCCACCGACACGAAGAAAAAAATAAAGGTGCAAAGGAAAGGAGGATCCAGAATCTTGCCCTCGGGGTAGTTGCAAAAAAAATTGCTCGAAATCCTGTTGATTATATGTTAGATAGCAAATCTGCAGTGTCAGGGACGTCTCGAGATATCGGTAAACCTGGTGCAACAATAACACATATATTTTCTCGGAGTATCAATTATAATTGCATTTTTTTTTAAGCACTCCAAGGTAAAAAAATTATGATACATGGATTCAATAAATTATATATATAAATCATTAATTTAAATAAATCGATTTAAAAATGAAAATTAATATCAATACGAACATTTTCAAAATGTACATAAGTATCAAAGTTATAAAACTGAAGTCAAAATGAATATCTTTGATTGGAATTAATAATGAAAATCAATGTCAATGTTAATAACAAAGTCAAAATGTTGTTCTCAAAAAACTACTGTTCTCAAAAACATTGTATTTTAGAATATGTACCCCCACATAATTTACAGATGTTTTTCTTCCGTGATCTCCCATTTTACCACTGAAATTACTAAAAATAATCTTTCTGAAAAATTGATATGTATTGATAATCTTTCTGAAAAATTGTGGATGTGTATGTATTGCTATGTATTGACCAATTCATAACATTTCTTTTCTAAATTACAAAACTCCTTACAATGCTTGTCTTCAAATCCATATTGTTTTTTATGGATCTAAGAAATCAATGTATATTGTGTTTTATCTTTCGTGTATTATATTTCCAATGTATGTGTACTTTATATCCCGTCAAGTTTAGTGTTATTTTCAATTTCGGATCATGTGCGTATTACACGCCAGCAGATTTAGTGTTATTTTCAATTTCAGATGATGTGAGTATTATACGCCGGCAGGTTTAGTGTTATTTTCAATTTCAGATGATGTGTGTAATATACACCGACAGGTTTAGTGTTATTTTCAATTTCAGATAATGCGTACATTATACGGTATATTTAGCGTTAATAAGATCTGCCATTTTTGATACGTTACTGGACGCGTGGTCCAGTTCACAAGAATCGAGGTGTGTCCCGGCTAAAACCATAGGCTCCTTAGACATCGAATCCTGGCTATCCCTTGGTTTGTTTTAAATTAACACCTACCCATGCACGCTCGCGGCACGCTTTAACACCTTTTTAAAAAGTGGCTGTTCACCGAACCCCGTTGCTTTCACCGGTGCCGGTAATTATGGGTTTCGAAGACGAGCTTCGTCGACATCGACGAGATTCTCGTTACGAGTTACTCGCAGCTACTTTAGTGGATAACGTGACCCATGTCGATCTTACTCCTTTTTTACCGCTGCTCTATGACGGTGTCGCATTCCATCGTTTCTGATTCAGATTCTTGCATGCAAACCGGGGAATTAAGTTGCGAAACGAAACCCTAACAAGGTAATCTTTCTGACAGTTTGACGTTCATAATAATTACTTGTCGTGTCGAACATAGTTGCCGACGTATACAAACGTGCTGCTGTGGGTTTGTACATATAATATTTTCTAAATAGTCTCGAAAGTATACGTCTATTAACAGTTGTGGATTAATTGGACAGATTTGATAAGCGACGTTGAATTAGGTCGCTAATCACGAAAATTTTATTCTACATGAATTTAACGCTAAAACTACCAAACCAAACTGCTTCACAAGTTTCTTATTACAAGTTACACAATTTGTTAAAGTGCTTTTCTTGAAATCTACATTGGTCAAAATAAAGAATGTGTATACTAATTTATGATTTGTCATTTGTTTATTGAGCGAGCGAGCCGAAGGCGAGCGAAGCTCTTATACTTGACTTTCCAACTTCTTTGTCCGCGTTTTTCTTTTGCAACACTCGACCAATTCTCATCAAATTTTGCACTCACACCACTCACATGCGTATGTACATCCAGATGGACATAGAAAAAAAAATGTTAAATGCATTAAAGTCTACGCGGATATGGTTTTTCGGAAATTATTCCTCCGCGGCATGCGCGGGCGGCGCGTAGGAGGAATATACACACGATAATGAGTATGCAAGATCGTTAATTACTCACTTTCTGAGCACAGTTTATGAACTTTTATGATTAAAGAATGGACAGCAATGCATTATTTACATGGTTCGATCCTAAAAGTTCATAAATAATGTGCAGGTAATGAGTAATTAATTATTTTGTTGCAGCCTTGCGATACGTACATGAGCCGCTTATGTCAAATCTACTGCGCATGCAAAGTGCAATATTTCGGCACTTTGACGGCGCAGTACGGTCCCTGAGGCATTTAGAAACAAATTTCTATTAGGGTTTGATGCGTTTTGATTCGACACTTTGACGACGTAGTATGGTTCCTGAGGCATTTAGAAACAAATTTCTATTAGGGTTTGATACGTTCTGATGCCTAATAAAGCCAGAAAATCAATTTTTGTCGAATTCGGTCCAAAACTATGAAAAACTAAAATTTCAATTTTCTCCGAAATTAGGCAATTTTACGTATTTCTGAGGGTCAGAAATTGTTCTGCGACCTCTCTAGAATATACATAATGCCACAAGAACCTCCTCAGAGCGCTAGAAAAGAAAATAGAAAAATAGTCCAAAACATGGACTAAAAAATTGGCGTCCATCTAGCGGTGCAAGTTGGAACTACAAAAACATAAAAATGCGATTTTCTCGAAAATTAGCGAACTTTGAGTACTTCCGAGGCTTAGAAAGTGTTATGTGATCGCATTAAAAGCAAAATAATGCAACAACAACTTCCTAAAAGCTTTAGTAAGGAAAATTAAAAAAATATCATTTTATGGAGAAAATTAGTGGCGCCATCTAGCGGCGAAACTGCGAACTAAACTGAAAAAACATGTCTGTACACGCGTTAAGGAAAAATATAAAATGTAATATTTCGGAACTTTGACGACGTAGTATGATCCCCTAGACATTTTAAAGCAATTTTTGTTTAATTAGATATGCATTTTTTTGCCTATTAGGTTCAGAAAATCAATTTTTATTTGACTCCTTTCTGCGTGTTCGGACATACGTTTTTTCATTTTTGTTCACAGTTTCGCCGCTAGATGGCGCCACAAATTTTCTCCATAAAATGACATTCTTTTTATTTTCTTTATTAATGCTTTTAGGAAACTTTTATTGCTTTATTTTGCTTCTCGTGTGATCACATAACACTTTCTGAGCCTCACAAGTACTCAAAGTTCGCTGATTTTCGAGAAAATCATATTCGAGAAAATCGCATTTTTATATTCTTGTAGTTCCAACTTTCACCGCTAGATGGACGCCAATTTTTTAGTCCATGTTTTGACCTTTTTTTTAATTTTTTTTTCTGGCGCTTTTAGGAGATTCTTGTGGCATTATACAGGTTCTATAGAGGTCACAGAACAATTTCTGACCCTCAGAAGTACTGAAAATTCGCTAGTTTTCGAGAAAATCGAAATTTTAGTTTTTCGTAGTTTCGCCGCTCGCCGCTAGATGGCGCCACATGTACCGTTTTGGACCGAATTCGACAAAAATTGAGTTTCTGACTTTATTAGGCATCAAAACGCATCAAACCCTAATAGAAATTTATTTCTAAATGCCTCAGGGACCGAAACCCTAATAGAAATTTGTTTCTAAATGCCTCAGGGACTGTACTGCGCCGTCAAAGTGCCGAAATATTGCACTTTGCATGCGCAGTCTTTATGTAATTTCCTTCCTTATTGACGATCGAGTATTCTAAAAATGATGCTGCGAATTAAATAAAATTTTGAAAAATGGACATTTTTTAATATTTTTGTTTTACTGAATATTGAATACTGTTAATGTATATATTGTCAACATTAAAATACTGTTTGCAATATATTCTGTGCGTCCGAAGATGTGGATTATGTGTTTAGAACAATTCGCAGACTACATTGTGTCACGTCGATAATATAGGGAATAACATTGAAATGATACAAATTTTTCGTTCGAATCGCCAAAAATCATACTCACAGACATTTCCTTTTGCAAAAAGGAGAAGTTTCGCCAATTGTTACACTCTTTTCATGTAATTCTTTACCTTATCGACAGATTCTGTTCATATGGGTACTGTCTGCATTTCTATCTTATGCTGGCTGCTAGATGGCGGTAATAAATGTTTTTCAGACAGCGTGCGCGAAAATATACATTTTAAAATGCATATAAAAATGAGGCTTCCAAAATGCTTTCAACTTTTTAAATAACTTTAAATAACTTTATGACAAACTATTATCTTTTACATCTTTTCTACATGTTAAATCGCTGCGATACTTCGATTACAAATGTACGAAACAATGAAACGTTCAATTATAAGAAAACGTTGATTTGTGTTTTGAAGCAATTTCTAGAATCACTTCTTCAAAATATAAAATATGCTTATAAAACAGCATACTTTTGAAAGTAAGCATGCACTTGTGAAAATATTGTTGTTTATCGATTTTGAAAATGATTTTTGTAAATTAGGCATAATGTATGTCAATGTGCGAATACATATTATTGCAAGTGGTAAAGACTTGTTTCGTTAGTTGCCATTTTTCTCCTAAAGAAACCGGATTTGTTTTTTAGTGTACATAGCGAAAAATTTTTAACTAAAATTGATATACCACAGCATATTATCTAATCAATGTTTGTAAATGTCAATAACTTCATGCAGGTAAAAATCAAGAAATTGTATAATGCATTTACTAAAGCACTCGTTATAAATTTCTGTCAACCTCATTCATCGTTTACAAATTTCAGCTATGAAAATGTCATAGTTCATAAATTAATGTTTCTTGCTTGTGTGAATATACATGAACATACATACAGTAATAGTGACGATGAAAATTTAGCATGAATGCTGCATTTACTTTCTAAGTTCTTAGTAATAACAGTGTTTCATAGTGCACAGAATCATAATAAATGTCTACAGAACTTATCACTACATACAGAATAAAGAAAATAATAGAAAGTCCTTTTCAAATTGTTGAGGTTTTTGATAAAACAAGGTAAAGTGAAAGCAATAAGGTTATGTTACCGTACAATCTTATAAAAACAAAAGAATGCTCGAAAAGACGCGCGAAAACTGAAGTGTATAAATTGACTAATCATTATGATGAGGCCTGGAAGGATGTTCGATAGTCGTGAAATTGGAAAACGAATACGACGATTAATTGATGGAAGTTATTCCTATCGCAAGATACTTATACTACTCATCATTTGTACTGGTATATTACTTTATTTTGGTCCACCTTTTGCACAGTGGGTTTTCTCTTCCACTGGAGAGTCCATACAAGGTAATACAATTAACTTTATCATAAATATTGTACTATTTTAAAAATCTGTTTAATTGTTTCTTGAATAATTAATGTAATAATGTATATATATTAGTCTCCATATTTTTATAGCATTTGAAGATCAATGCATAAATGAAAGGCTAGCACAATTTCATGCAGATTCTGAAGAGTATAATGTAAATATTCTTCATAATCCTCCAAAAGAAAAGGAGCACCAGTATTTACCATATATTGGTAATGGAGTATTTGGAATTCCTATTGTACCAGAAGCTTTGATATATATAAAAAAAGGACGAGCATTATCATTACCTATACAATGGCAACCATTAATATTTCCACCTTTATTTAAAAGTGCTTTCTATCGTGAAGCTACAGTTACGCATTTCACAAATGGAATTGTTTATCACTATCAATGTCTGAGAGAAGGATATTATACAGAATTTCAGTATTATGCCCATAGAGTATTTGATGCAATACTGGTACAAGATGTAAAAATAACCAATCCACTTTCATTTTCTCAAAATGTACCATTAAAACCTCAAATATCTATTCACTGGAGTAATTCCCACACAGAATCAACTAAGTAATTATTAAGTTTAAACATATACTTGAAACGCATAATTTAGTAATTAACAGCATCATAATAATACTAATTATAATTAATAATTATATTTATGTGTTTAGAATTCAAGTGGGTGACTTTATGTATGAATATAATTTAATTTCGGGTTTTGTTCCACTACCTAACTCAAATAAGATTGTGGCAGTATCAATACTTTATAAAATTCCACCCAAGATATTACAAATTAAAGCAAGGAATTCTTTAAAATTAAAATTTCTAACAAGTATACAATACAGTGAACCTATAATTATGGACGAATACCATACCCATTATGAAACAACGAAGAAAAAAGCAATAGAGGTGTGTAAATCAGAAAGTATTAAAATATCAGTATCTATATGTTAACTGAAAATAATTTATGACAGGCAATGAGAAAAGCACTTAGTATTCAACAAGACAATTTAAAAGATGATCATATTAAACTTTGGCAAAGTTACTGGTATACAGGACTTAGAATAAGTGATTCTAAAGCTAATGGTGCTATTAATGGTCATAAAATAAATTCTACTACATACTATGTATTATCTCAAACCCCAAATGGTACACCAGGGGTAGAAAAAAATGTGATCATGAATGAAGGTTGTTATCGTGGGCATCATACTTTGTGAGTAATTTAAAGTTGTACAAATATTCTTTTGTACAATTTATATCTTATTTTAATGTTTCAGAGATGCACCACGTTTATGGAAAGATACATCAACTATTGATAATGTGAATAATGTTGTAGAAGCATGGTTAATAACACTAGAAAAACAAGGTTGCCACCATTTAATGACTGGTGATCCGATAGCGGTGCAACAAGCTATTGTTTTGAGCCTTGGTAGCTTACGGTTTAGCAATCAGCATCTCGAATTCAACATTGATCCACAATATTTACATCGCGACTATTTATTCAGGTATTATACTATTTATTCACTATTATTATTATTGTCGTCATCATCGTCATTATTATGATATGACAGTATATCAGTTGATTTTAAGATGATTTAAGTGGTACTTAATTTCTAGGAGAATAAGTTATGGTAATGTAACTCATCTGAATATATCAGTAACTGTTGGTGAAGATAATCGTGCAATTTTGAGAGTAGCTTTAGACAAAAGTGATAGTGTCTATTTTGGCTGTGATGCAGGGTGTTTAGATGCACCTATTTCCTTGAGTGAATCATACACGACTTTTCCGGTAAAATTAACGAAGCCATTAACAGCTATACTGTATATAACATCTGATTACCAACATATGCAAGATCTACGAAATGCTTTACATGTACATGCTATTGATGATGGTTGGTACAAATATTAAATTTATTTGCTAATATCTCATATTACTTATAAGTCTCTAATAATATCATAATATGACACTTCACGTAGTCTTCTTTGTGTACTTCATTTTGTTTTACAGCTCCAGCACATGATCATCTAGTAATGGCTTTGCATAAACATGGACACCAATTAGGAGGATTACCAACACTTTTTTGGGTTAGCATATGCTTTCTTATTATTGTATTTCATTTGTTCCTTTTTAAACTTATTATTAATGAATATTATGGGCATCAAGATAAACAGAAAATGAGATATAGTAAACTATGATTATTTCATAGAGTCAGTTTACATTAAACGCGCAAAATTAGCTATCTTTATAGCATTAAAAGTTATAATATGAAAATTTATAAACATCTCTTAAAAATCTCATTAATATTGCCTCCTGATATATTGTATTTTTATATCTTACAACCTAAAATGAAATTTAATAATATATCAAAATATAAGCCTTTTTTATATTGGTATTAAAACGCAATAAAAGTTTTTCTGATAAGTCTGAATGAAGCAAATGTAAGTAGACATGTATATAAATATTCATATAAATGTATGTTATTTTACGAAATATTTAACATTCAATTTCTTAAAATATCCTACATGTAGTAAAAGGGAAATAGATTATTTTGCAAAGCAAACATATTCTGATAGTACTATTTTTGTTCATCATTCTGTGTTCTAAATTAAAAAATGGAATAACATTACTGACATGTATCTAGAGCTACAATTTTGATAATACATGTAGTTATTTATTCTTTCTTGCAATTTAATATAAATTGATAAACCTGCATGTAAGTCATCATTATTTCTATAAAAATGTGTTTTCATTAATATTAAGTGTTTTTTTGTCTGCTAACATTTTGTTATTGAAATTAATGTCTTTCAAATTTTTGTAATTATAAACTAAAAATTTTATTTTGTTTGTAAACAAACATATTTGTACATATTAAAATATTTTTAATATAAATAAAACATAAATGTAACAATAATAAAAACAAATGATAATGATCAGACTTAGGTATTACTTATGTAATAAATCCAAAAAATGATTATTTAAATATGTAATAAGTAAATAGTTATTTGTTTAGATAAAATAATTATGTATTTAAAATGGTTTTTCATTAGATTACATGTTTCACGGTTTGGCTATGAAATGAAGTAATTTTCTTTTTTATACTTGAATAAACTTTTTATTTAAATAACTTTTCAAATACTATTTACTTTCTTTCTGTCAACATTATCAGTTATATAAGAATTATAGATTTCTTGATACAAAATGTAGAAAAGTATTCATACTGACATAAATAAAAGAACAGCCGATGTAAGTACACGCTTGGCATTATATGATTTGCGCACATGTGCATTAGCTTTGGATACAGAGTATGTTAAAACCAGTTAAAGCCAATACATACGTGTAGACTGAACAAAGCTTGTCATCTAGAGAGTATAGTCTTTTATGACTGTGAGTAAAGACATGTGGTACGTGTTTTACTAACGGTGGATTGGAGCCCGTGCAGCAGTAATTAAAATAATTCTGTACTTTTTTCAGATCGCTTTTATTACAGATAAATTTAATATGCGAAATGTGGCAAAATATATTTTGAATTCGAAAAAAGATATTTCTGTCAATGTCAGTTTCCAATTTCATTCCATCTTCCCGGATCCTAAATCTTCCTTTTAGACTATGCTAATTCAACAATAAGTAGTTTTTCTCTGTTATGAATGACTTATTTCTTGATTTTCCATCGTAGATGGAAAGTCTTTGACTTATATATAAGTAGTAGTATACAATTTTACAACTTATAGTTGGCATTATGACATATCTTGTCTTACCGTACCAGTTGATTACTGCGCCTCTAACGGAATATATTTCCTCGAATTAGTTACAGAAATGTTTCTTTTAATTGTCGCAAAACTCAAATAGATTCAACGACAGTTAAGTGGTTAATGTTCCAGTTTTGTATTATTGTATATTAAATTGTAATATTACGAAGACGTCATTTGGAAAGGTGAACGAAACAGGCAACAGTAAACAGGAATGATATTAACTAAATAAAATTTGGTTTCATATCATTGACTTTGCATAATTATTTTAGAATTCAGAATCTATAACTGTATTTATTAACTATTCTATAATTCTATCAAATAATATAGAAATTATTATTATTAAGGGTGTGATTCTTTAATTTGGATTTACTGCAAAAAGATTATAACAATTTTGTAAATCTTCCATTCTTTGATGAATGAATATTTTATTGCGAAGAATTTGTTTGAAAAGAAATATACTGATTTATTAACCATGCCACCACCTCTTCAACATCGTCTTGCTCTTAAGAAGATTCTACAAGATCGGACATTTGTCACTCAAATGGACAAAAAATTAATTGATACAAGGCCTAATAGAACTTCACGAAAAGAAGAAATTACTCTTGCAAAACGTTTAGAAATTCTCCAGAAGTTAGACAATGGAGCAAATCTGCGTGAACTTGCTGCTGAATATGGTATTAACAAAAGAACCATGCAACGATATAGAAGAAATGCAGCATCAATTCGGAAACTTTCAGAAACTGCTATAGATATGGGTATGAAAAGAAGACGAGCATCATTGCATGAAGATGTAAGTACTAGGTTACATGCATGGGTAATAGAAAGGCGAGCATTGGGAGAGACTCTAACTGATAGTACATTGCAAGAGAAAGCAAAACAATTCCACAAAGAAATTGGTGGTTCATCACATTTTGCAGCCAGTCGTGGTTGGCTGTGGCGTTTTAAAAAGAGATATAACTTGCGTTCTGTGGGCACCCATAAAGAAAAACTAGATGAAACTGAATTAGCTGTAGAAAATTTTGGAAAAGAATTAACAGAACTGATAAGTAAGGAAAATATTGATGAAGAAAATATATACAATTTGGAAGAAACACGTTTAATGTGGAAAGCCCTTCCTCAAAAATTGTTAGATCAAGATGAGGAACAAATGAAAGATAAGAAAAAAAATTACATCACTATTGCATATTGTGCAAATGCCACTGGCACACATAAACTACCGTTACTTGTAATTAATAAGTATCCTAATCCAAGAGCTTTAAAACATTGTAAACACCTTCTACCAGTAATATATAAAAGTGAAAGTAACAATGAATTAGATGAAACTATTTTTAAAGATTGGTATATCAATCATTTTAAATCCAGTGTGAGACAACACTTACTGCAAAAGCAGGAAGAGAAGAAAGTGCTATTACTAGTTGACAATTTTAAAAGGCATATGCTTCCAAAAGAAGCACAAGATGATTTTCAGTTTAAATTAATGTTTTTACCATCTTATGCATCTTCAACTATTCAGTCAATGGAGCAAGGCATAAGTGAAAAACTTAAAAAGTTGTTTCGATATAAATTACTACAACGAGTGTCAAAATTTGATGGTGGAATTCGACAGTTTTATGCTGATTATGATATAAAAGATTGTATTGACTTGATTTTTGAATCATGGAACGATATAACAGTAGCAAACATTAAAACTTCATGGAACAAACTTCTAAATCAATCATCTTTGGATGAGAATAGTGAACAACAGGATTTCAGAATCAAAATGGAAGAAATTTCTTCTACAGAAATAGCAGAATGGTTTTCAGAATGTGAAGAAGCAGAAGCAACCATTGAAGAAACTACAGAACAATCCTGTTGTCCCATAGAAGAAGAGGAAATTTACCGCATGTTTCACAATTTAACAAATTGGGCTGAAATGGAACCTGAATTTGTTAAATTATACACAAAAGTTTTAGTAAATTATTATAATAAAAAGTAACAAAAAGAAAAATATATCTAATAAAATTAGAATTTTTTATGAAATATTTTTTCTGTTTTTCACATGTCGTATTTTTTGTACATACACAGGGTATTCAGTGGAGAGAAAATATAGTTGGACTTTCCCACAACTTTCCTTGATAATTTCTAATCCTTTTAACTGAAAATTAGAAAAATATATATAGTTATGTTTGACAACATTTTCAGTTATATTTGAAATATTTTTTTATTATTACTAATAAGTCATAAAAAATAAGAAAAATATAATTTATATATTTTTAGTGTCGCGCGATTTATTAAAAGTGGTATTGGTTTTCGTTTGCCTATGTTGAGTCGATATACTTATAGCAAGTCATTTATGAAAGCGAAAGTTTTACATCAAATTGCAAACATGAATCGTAATCTTATATTTCATGAATTATCGATTCTTTTAACATTATACCGCAATACACGACAAATATACTTCAAAGTCCAATTTTGTTTTTGTAAATATGTTAATAAAATATGAACGTGTCTTTCAAAAAAAGTAAAAAACTTTTATCGTCAAATTAGTATTGTTTTACCAATAATTGAACTTGTATCGAGTATAATACATTATTTATTTAAAGTATAATTAAGAGATTTAAAAACATTAAAGAAAAGAAAAAGTACATTTGTATATAGATTCATTTTTATTTGTCGTAAATAACGTTAGAAGACTGTGTATGTTGTAAGTTATTTTTACATAGCACATTAAATGTAGCATGATTAAATCACATTAATATCACTATCTTATTTAACAACGGTTTCATGTAGAATTATATAAAAGATAATAATATATTATAATTCTGTTTATCCAATTGTATCTACTTTGCAGTTACTTACGATATAAACAAATTAATTTACTGCTACAAAGCTTAATAGTTACCGAGTTTCTTCGAATAAATATTAACTAAAAAAAGAATAATACATGTGCATGTACGAAACAGTTTATTTGGAGTTCTTTATGACGGCGTCACAACATCATGCATAGCATATCTCCATGTCCATGCCCTGGCGATTTCATCGAATCTTTCACGATCGTTCAAGTACATTTCACCCAACTCTGGCTCCATACAAACCTGTTATATACATCTATTATTAGTATTATTAACTACTTCATCATAAAGCATTTATAAACTTTTCAATAGTAGAATTTAAAATATACATAATGAAATAGGATCCATTAATATCCCCTTGCTAAAAATTAATGAAAATAATTTTTTACATTTAATTTCTGATATTTTAATATTATGTTAAATATAGAACTGTAAATATTAAAATTTAGAACGTTAATTTCTACAAAAACAGCAAATTTTGGAATATCTATAAGTCTCTGCTTTTGTACTCTTAAAAGTTAAGCACAATGAACAATAATCTGTTACAGTATTTACCTGACAATATGGATCCGTAAGTAAGCTTTGAACACTAATTAACACTTTTGAAATTGTTAATGCCAATGACCAATTATGATGTATTGAGTCTATACCAACATCACCATGTCTAGAAACGTTTGGATGAAGTATTTTGGTAAGAAACCTTACTATTGGTGGATACAAGGGATAACTGTAAATATTAAAAAAAATTTTAAATACCTTTTTAGAAATGAAAAATATATTATAATCCATTTCCCATATTTTAAAGTTCAAATAGAAATGGAAAAGTGAATGTTTCTCAATTTTTGGAAAACTACAGCAGTCATATATATTACACCAAAATAGAAATACAAAAGATTCTGTTGTTATCCTCATAGGTTCTCAAAAACAAAACTTCAAGATTTCATGCAATTTAGCTTGAATATTCTATAACTGTAATACATTTAATGAAAAAAATATTTGTATACATACCTGCATGGTACTTGTAAATAAAGGTAAAATAAGCCTCCTTCATATGGACTTCCTACAGGTCCAGTTATAGTAGCCTGCCAGTGGCAACACATCTGATCTAAAGGAGTTGCCTCAATACCTTCAGGAGGATCTCTTCTTAAACTTTTTAATTCGCTATGAAGTCGAGTTCTTCTCCAAGAATTTTCTTGGATTCTCGGAGATCGCGATCTTAAACAAGTTTGTGCCAAACATGTCCTGCAAGGTGCTGAGGAAGCCAAAAAATCGTATACTTTGTACCAATTTTTAACAGATCCAATAGGTTTGTATAAAGGCCATCGTAGTTTAACATTTTGCTGCCACTGTTGCGATGTTACATGTGTTGATAATAAACCACACCATCTGCGGCAAACATTTGCAGCTGACCAAAGACTAACATCATCTAAATGGGAAAAAACAACTAACAGCACTTCTGGTGGTAACCTTTCTACTAAGCTTGGTTCAGAAACAGATTCATGTTCAACATGTTTATAGTTCGTTAACATTTCTAATCGTTCAGATAAACTATATGATCTTGAAGGTTCGCCTACATCATCATGTGCTTTGTAATTCCATTGGCAATGCTGATAATTTTCTAATTCTTTAACTCTCTGAAATGGAACTATGCTGTGCAGCTTCCTTTCTGCTATGCATTGAGAATTCTCAAGAGTAGAAACTTTTTCTTTACAGGTTTCATTGTGAGTTTCATTATTTCCATTTACCATACTTTGTACATTACCAGAGTGTGTATCATGTACAAGGGGCACATTTTGAGAAATAGTTGCTATACTTTTAGAGTTATATGGATTTATACCATAGTGTACTTTCTGTGTTGCTGAAATATTGTCATTTTGCATATGAATACGTTGAGATGTATGAGAGTTAGGATTAGAAATATTTGATATGTTTGGTACATTTGAATTTGCATTTTGTGGAGAATTTTGTTGCTGCTGACTGGCTCTTCTTTCATGGTTATAATAGAGTTCTGTTGGTTCATCATTTCCTGAATCTTCATCATCTGTTTTCTAGATTTTAAAAATATTATATTAATTATACATTTACACAACTGAGCATACATTCTGTTTCATTGAATTTCACTTATTGAAATAAAATTTTGATTACTTAAACCTTGTTTGTATTATTAAAAAATGACACTTTGATACATAAATTTAAAGAAAGAAAAAATAACCACTAATATAAATATTATACCACTTTAGAAAATAGCAATGATAACAATATAGAAATAGTGGATGTTGTTACAAAGTTATTGTTTTTTTAACTTGTGAATAGTAATTTACATAAATCATTAGTAAGCGAAGACATACATTTTCTATGAAATGAATGAAACGATTTAAAAATATTAAAACAACAATTTGTTTAAAATAATGGTTACATAAATTATCTGAATAAATGAAATTCTATGATATGCATACACATGTATATACATATGTATAAAAATAAAGCAGCATACTTCACTGAAAATGGGAACTTGTAAAAGACCAACATCATTCGGAAATAAAAATGCGTGACATGTTGCGCAAACAGGTTCTTCAAAACATGGTCCATAATATCCATTACAGAAACAACAAGCTACTGTCTGAAACAAATACAAATATTTAAAGATTACGAGGATACTGCATAAAATCATTTTTACAAGTTAACATAGAAAAATTAAATCAAACTATAAATATGTTATTGGATTTTTAAGATTTATTCTTGTTTTGGAATATGTAATATTGTTATGATTACATTATTACATATTTATTTAATCTTTTATTGTGTTTTATTAACAAAAAGAAACAGAACTATTAAAGCGATCCTTAAAATTCAACATTTAAAGCACTTGACATCTTAATATTTTATTTTTTATTCCGTGATGCAGAATTAATTAAAATTTTATTATATTTCATAATATTTTAAGGGCTACTATTTGCTTACTAATATTTTAAATGACATGCACAAAACAATATTTTTTGTTATTATTCAAACAATTGTGACAGAGATTAAGAAATTAACTGTATTAGCCTAATGGTATTCTTTCTAAGGTGGACTTTTGTAAATGTAAATTGGATATTTTTAACTATAGATGACAAATGAACTCATCGCTCGTGTAAAAGGCATATAAACCTTTTATAATGCAAATACAGAAAAAGTTTTACTTTCTATTATTTCATTATTTATTATTAGATGTGCAAAAGAACAACTACACAGTTAGCAAGTTAAAAGTTATTAAACAACAAGCTTGTTTTATAATAATATTTCAATATTAAATAAAAATATTTAAAACTCATAATATGTTGAAAAGAAAATTGCATTCTGTTTCTTTGACTAGTTTATAGTTATCCTTAATATTTAACTTAGAAGAAGAAATACCATATCACTCATTAATGTGATTGCATTAATAAAATGTTACCTAAAGAAATAAAAAAAAATATTTTTTTATTAAATCAGTACAATTTTACTAATAAAATAACGATGTAATATCTTACCGAAAACTGAAATTCAGGGCAAGGAATATCCTCAATGGGTTCTGTGAATTCATCTTCTAAATTCAGATTTAAGTTATAAGCACCACTTTGATGTACTTTTTCTCTATTTACGAGTGATGAACCACCGATTACTTTGTCACCAGCCATGTTAATATTGTAATAAATGCTACACTCTTTCGTATATAAGAATACACTAGATTATTTGGTTTATCTATACGTATAATTTATTTTCATCATATGCACTTTTATTTTAGCAATTACTGATGCATGCGCATTTAAAAGCAACATTGAATATTACTATTATGCTTTAACAGAACTTGTACACTTGTACTGATACACACAATTTTCGTACGATCATAGTTACTTTCAATACCTTCTATAGGTAGAAAGCAATCGAATAATAATTCTTGATAAATGTCTTGAATATATCGAATGCACTGAATACCCAAATTAATTAGAATAATTGAAATTGAAATTGGTAGAAAAAGTAATTTTCGCGTAATACAAATTTTGTTTGCAAGACCTTTTTAGAAAAAGATATCTAAATTCTGTTATATATCACACTTGATATTATACAATTACATTTATTTATATTTTTCCACATTATATATAATGTGTGTGTTAGATGTATACATATATAGTATAATAATGTTTGACGTGTATATGTAAATAATGGATATTGTTTCTTATTTTCTCCTCTCCATTTTCATTCTCTATTTTATTAGTTTTTTTTACCATTTTTAAATGTTTGTTTCTAAATTTCAGTTTTTATAACAAATATTGTATTTCATTTCAATAAATTTCTAACTTATCTGTAACAATTACCAGAATATTATTTATTATTGACAGAGTTTGCACTATTAGATAAATTAGTCGTTTTATCATATTTTAATTGTTACCAAATTCACGAATCACAAATAACCGACAAATAAAAGGTTTATTCGTGATTGGTTGAATATTTTCATTGGTTGGGTACTCGACTTTTGTCATGTGATCATTCCCTATTTATGTTAATATCAGTGATATTGTCTCGAAATCTTGTGGCAAAACAATAACAAACTGTGTTTTACGATTGGATCGTATGAATTTTTTGGTGCGTAGGTAAAGAGAGCGGTGCAGGAGTAGATTCCAACGTTTATTGCTTCTGTATAATATATTCTTCTTACACGTGCAAAGAAACTCGGATTTGTCAAAAATTAACTTCGGAAAATTTCACGAGACAATGTCCTCGTCTAAGAAAGACATTTGCTGACGAAAGTCATGGTTATTTCATCTGAGGGTATTGAGTGTACTATGTAAACGTGTAGATTTCGATCAGCAATCTGTAATAGCACGAAATATGCAAATGGATGAACCTTTGTTTTAAATTTCGTGCTTTGCTTTGTTTGAACTGTAAATTGAATGCCGTGAGCGTATACGGTTTTCAATCTTTGTTTTTGTCATACTTGACTTTAATTTTGGGTTAAAGATCGTGTATTCTATAATTATTCACAAATTCAGTATCCAGAATTTGATGTCATACATCATTGGTACTTTATACCATCACAGTAATTGATTTACTTACAGGAAAGAAACTGGTAAGTTTTTATATTGAATTTTAAGTAATTAAATTATTTTTTTTAAATTACATATTAATAAATGTAAATTTGTAACATAATTAATTTGAAAATTATATTCTTAGTTGGAAAATCTGGATATTCTAAAATATTTTTGGAAATTAAAATTAGCTCAATGGATGGAATAATAAAACAAGAACCAACTCAAGAAATGGGTCCATCTTCAGCATCGGTACCAATACCAGGGGGGCACAGAAATATTAGAGGCGTATACGACCAGTTTTCTCCATCTCCATTAGCTTCAGTATGGCCAAATAAATCAGAACACATAGAATCTCCTTTTAAAATGGATTCTGATCAGTTAGATGACTTTTTTAAGATGGAAAAATGGGAAGATGATGATATACTCCAAGTGGATAAAGCTGATCTTATTCAAGGACCTACGCTTGCTGAATTAAATGCGAATGATGATACTCTCCTTGGTGACTTAAATTTTGATGATTTACTCTTACCAGAAGAAAGAGTTCAACCATTTAAAATGGATGTTAACACGACTCAACCAGTTGGTCCATTATTTAATGATAATAGTGGTTTTGCTCCAAGTAGCTTTCCACAATCTGGATCACAATATCGTAATGTCTGTCTCCCTTATGCAAATGCACATGGATTTAATCTGAATATAAACATTAATGTTGCTGATAATTTGGAAACAATTAGTCCTAATGCTTATCCAAGTCCAGGAACCAGTAATATTGCAGGTTTATATATAATTTTATCTGTTTGTTTTATATTCACTATGTAACACTTTGAAATTGCATAATTTTTTATCAAGTTACCAGAAATCCAAAATTGAGATAGTTACAAATAAAATAATTTTTGAAAGTGTTAAATTCGTAACAGTTACACTTGACAGCTACATTTATTTATTATTTTATATTGTAGCTTAAATAAAAAATATATGTGGATTTCAGAATCAGAGTACATTAAATTCTCTTTGTAAAAAATATAAAAGCAACAATGTTCAGTTTTGCATTTATGATTTTCTTTTTTCTAAAGTTTTTGAAGTATGCCAACTTGCACTCTGGCTCTTGGGGTCCAGATATGTGACTATATTAAGTATAATATTTAATAATATATTGTAATTTATTAAACAAATTGATTTGACTTGGTAATAATGTTTTAAAATAATTCTTTTAAAGGAAGTTCAACGGCAAGTTCTTCAACATCTCCACATCTTATGAATAGGCCTAATGGGCAATCTGCTCTTCACGAATTGTTAATGAAGCGATGTGAAAATTCGTTCGATAATTCTACATGTAGACAAATAGACATTGGTTGTACAAATAATAAATCCAAGGTTTCTAGACTGTCAATGTCTGCACCAACCAGGACAATGGGATTAGAACAGATTTGGGCTCGTAGAGAACCAAGACCACATTTACTGAGTACTAGTAGTCTTGGAGTTGTTGAAGCAGGTTCAACAAGTAGTTTGAGTACTGGAGGTGCACTTAGTCCAGATCCACTTTATCACATTGATCATCTTAGTCATGATGAAGGTTATGAAGATAGTGATGATGACAGTGATCATTATGATGATTATAGCAGCGATAATGGTAATTTATTATCTATAAGTAAATTTTATATTTTATGTGATTTTTAATGTTATCTACTTTACTATGTTTTAAGGTAAAAAATAATTAAGAAATTAAAATGAAATATATGTTTCTATAGATACAGGTGGTAGTGATGGTGAAGATCAGAACAGTGGAAATAGAGTAGGAAGTGGAAGCGTAGATTCAAATAGAGAAAATAAACATAAAAAGGAACGATATTTTTGGCAATATAATGTTCAAGCAAAAGGACCGAAAGGACAAAGACTTGTTGCTAGAACGCGACTTGAAGACCCACATGTTTTAAATGAAGCCACAGATCCTGTTTTTAGTCCACATTGTGCACTTCGTGGAATCAAACATAGTGGAAAGGCACGAAAAGGGGATGGAAATGATCTTACACCGAATCCGCGCAAATTGTATAGTATTGGTCGTGAATTGGACAAACTGTCTCGTATTATCAATGATATGACACCAGTTTCAGAATTACCATTTACAGCAAGGCCTAAAACACGCAAAGAAAAAAATAAACTTGCTTCTCGAGCATGTCGGTTGAAGAAAAAAGCTCAGCATGAAGCGAATAAAATAAAACTACATGGTCTTGAACAAGAACACAGTTGAGTATTTACAGTTAGATTTTTATCTGAATAAATTAAGATTTTCTGGCTGCACTGATTAATGATAATAATAATTAAAAGGCGAACTTGTTTTATCTTAAGTATAAGGACTTATTAAGAAAAGAAACGAAAATATCGCGTTATAAGTATTTGCATAATTCCTTCTTATATGTTTGTTATTTTGAAGAATGTTAATATCGTTTATAATACATATATAATTCAAATAAGATGAAAAATATTTAAATTTAACAAATAAACGTAATATGATTATGTATTAAAGCATAATATTAAAATACAAACTGTTACTTTTGCAGGACGATTAATCCATGGTATTTCTCAGGCTAAACAAACACTTGCTGCAAAATTAACGGAACCTAATCCTGAAAATCAAGAAGAATTAACACGTCAAATGGAAAAGTGTTGTAAATTGGCCACCAGTTAGTATAATTCTATTTTTTAAAATAAATTTTTGTCTCTTTTCTTTTTTTAAATAAAGAAAACAACATATTTTAAATTGGAGCTGAGAAAAATATGATTTTTAAACAATTAAATGTAAATAATTATACAAAAAGTACTCAACATGAGAGCTGAGGAAAAAATTATATTAATCAGAAATTAATTAAATTGTAATTAATTAAATTCATAAAATTATAAACTTGTAACATTACTTTTTTGAATCAATTGTCTAAATGTAGAAAATTTTTACAAACAGAATTTGATAATATAACTCATTCAATTATCCTATATCTTTTAGATTTTAAACATAATTTATTAATTAATTTATATTAAATTGTTAAATAGTTTAAGTGTAAGTGTAATTGTAAAAACACATATCTTATCTTTTATGTTTCTTTTTACAGAAGTAAGAATAGCAAATCATTCGACGGAATTTGTCAACAAAGTATTGGATAAAGTACGCGCTGGTGTTCCTGATGGTGGTATTGATGATTTTTAATATGCCTGAATTTTTGCTAAAAAATATTCATACGTGCGCATATAAAGATGCGAGGAAGAAGCGGTGTGTTAATACGATATTATGTTTATTAAAAATCAAGAACAGAATATTTTATATGGAGATCGAGAACCAAGAATATGTAATGTGGACAAAGAACTGTTGAATTCTAAAAACATTTAGAAGATTTGAAAATAATTAACATGTAACAAATAATTAATAGTATCAGTACTATGCAATTTTAAATATTTACTTACAATTTATTACAAACTCCAATCGTTTGTAAACAGCTAGGAAGTAAGTAGACCTGCAGTTAAAATAAAACAAACAACATCATTTTATCTAATTATTTTTATATACTAAATTTTATATATATATATAAATTTTTGGTTCTCGATTTCAACTGTGATATTTCTATTGATTTAATTATTAATTAGTTTTTAGTAGAACTTGTACAGTTCACGCCAAAAAGAGATGTAAAAAAGGTTTCAGATCTTCAATGCACTATCTGCATTCGATTGTAACTGCATGTATCATCGATTCTCTCTCGCTAAAGCGCTGCATTCCTATTGCCCATTTCTTCTTTTTCTTTTTGTTTATCTTGTATATATCTTACGTGAATGTATGTGTACGGATGAGTGTTTGTTGTATATGTGTGCATATGTCTACATAAGATACAAAAAATGTACCAAATGTCGCAATATTTTTCCACATAACAGCAGAAACAGAAAAAAATAAAAGTAGTGAACTTACTCATATTCTAGTAATAGAATATGAAATATGGAGTGTTCCAAAATTAAACTATCAAACTCCACAAATAAAAATATGAAAGAAATATCGTATACACATAGATCTATAAATGTTTTATTATTTCAAAAAGATTTATTTATGGTTCCAATTTAAAATGTTTCAAAGTTCAGTGAGTATATCATTAATCCATCTTATCCATTATTACGATTTTCCAAATGTTCAAATTTTTATATTTCTTTCAATTTTTAAATCGAGGATTCTAGGAATTAGCTCATTGCAGTTCCCGCGAATGCATGTTACTTGCACATTTGTATGCTCTCGTGAATGCAGTTGTTCATTAATATTATAAAAAAAATATGTAGTGAAGTTTGTTTGTTTAATTTTGAAAAACTTTGTACAATAATTTTGAGGACGTACATAGTAAAGTCTTTATTGTTACTTTTTCTGTTTTCTTATTACATAAGTAACAATATGAAATTGCGTAATTTAAACAATTAATTACATTTTAACAAAAATTTAGAGGCATTATACGATATGAGATATTTAGAAAATTTTGTTTTAAATTTTTACCTTTCAATTGATATGCATTGTCTTTTTTCTATATACATTTAGATTTTAAATACTATAATTGGAAAACAATTAATTATGATTAGTATTCTTATGTTACTATAAAATAATTATACTAACAATAAGTATGATATTTTATAATTAGCGTATTACTTTCTAATCACGATAAGTATTTGTGTTCTATTATAAATCAGTGTTGCGAACGTGGGTGCATTAGATATTTTACTTATGTACATATGCACACTTCAGATTATCTTGTATATAAAACTTTATTTTTTTTATAATACATGTCATATTTGTTATATTCGCAATAAAAGTTATAAAATTATGCGCATACAAAAAAGTACTATTGAATGCAGTTCTTGTTAGTAGTTAAAATAACAGTTAATATTATCAAAAAGAAATTTCTATTTTTTTATTTAAAATCTACCAAGATATTATTTCAAATTGTTATTAATTAAGACGCAATATAGAAGTGATAAAATTGGTTAATGAAAATAATTTTGAAAGGGAATTTTATTTTCAGAAAGTTTATTTACTTTAAGTTATTTGTAAATATCGTATGGAACACAAACATAGTTTCTTACATTATCAGATTTGAATACCTTTTTTCACGTGTCGCACGTAATATATATAACTTATGAAAATACCAGATCGCTTATTATTTATAACAAGCTTCCATAATACTTCATACGAGTACTATACGTATATATTCGATTAAATTTACTTAATACTTTTTTGTAGCTTTTGATAATTTGTGTATGTGATTATTATATAATGTAAATTGTATAATGTAAAAGTTAATTACTATATCATTTAAAGTATTGTTTTAATGTTTTTGTATATTTTATCATACATATTAAGATGAAATGCTAAATGTGACAATTAAGTTTATTATTAACAAGTATATATTTCTGTAATATTTGAAATGGTAGTCCTTCCCAAAGAACTATATAAATTGTTTCGTTTTGGTATTAGAAAATCTTTATTATCCGTTTATGGTTGTAACTTAGAGAATACTTGCAACAAAATTAATGAAAATAATTAAAATTTAATTAAAATAGATATTTTTAAGGCTTTTATATAATCAATTAAAATTAATATTTTACAGATAGTTATATTTTGATGTGATGTTATTATCGTTTAAAGTAAATTCGTGAAAAATAACTATTATGTTATAAGCGTAAGTGAATGAATGTATGTATGTGTGTATGCGATTTTGTATATGAAATGATTTTATGCCATTTAGAATTTGCGTTAAAAGCTACATTTAATCATTATGAAAAGATCAAATTACAGGGCAGGGTATTTCGTTTAATAAGATGATTTAAAATTATTTCCGTTGTTCTTAGCGCTACAGACAAGTGCCTAAGAAAAGAAATATTTGATTTTAAAAGAGTAATTTATTATTATATTATGCGTGAAAAATCAATGCGATTGAAATTTTTAATGATATTTAAATTTAATATTTATAATGAAGTCATTATTATAGTTGTAGCAAAAGTAGAAAGTATATAATATATTCAAATCTCTATTTTTCGTTAATTGAAGAAAAATACAACTACTTATAGTAGCTTAAGTATGGTTAAAGCGTGTTTCACTCATTTAAAATTCTATGTTTAATCAAATTAAATTTGTTTCATTATTATCTTTAAATTTATATTTAAAACGATACGAAATCTGTTTTACAGTAATGCAGAGTTAATTACTTTCATGAAATAAGAACTATTTTTTTTTAAATAGTTTTTTTTTCTAAATACTAAAAGCAATGGATAAATTTTAAAGGATCGAGTTAAATGAAATAATTAGTACATTTTTGTAATTTTTTAAATTTTAAGTGCCTTTAAATCCTACAAACACTTGACATACGTTTAATATTTCAAGTTAAAAATCTCATCCATAAAATAATGGGCCACAAGTACAACACGTTTCTTTCTATGTACAGTAACATTTATAACATTTGATATTTTAAAAAATCGATTCCATTGTGGTATTGTAAACTTGGTAAATTATGTTTGATTATTAATATATTAAAATATAATGTTTTCTTTTTTTATGAGTTAATAAGCAAACATAATTTTCTATATATTCAAAGAAAAACTCAATTGTAACGTTATAAACGATATTTTGAGTTGTTAAATGGTTGTTTTTGAAGCAATGATGTTACATGAAAAGTTGTAAAAAATATCAGCTTTGTTATTCATCGCATCAATAGCCAACAAATTGCTGTTTTTCTTTTTCATTTCTTTTTTTTTTTTTATTATTATTATTATTTTTATTTTATTTTAGTAACGATAACTATAAAAGTATATTCATTTTTAAAGTACAACGAATAATAAAATTTGCTAAAGGAGATTGGTGTTTGTAATGTTTAGAAATGCGTTTTTATGAATATCTTTGGCTAATTTTATCTACCTCAATGCGAACCATTATACTAAGCGTAATGTCTAAAACAATATATTTATTTTGTTACATGATGTATATATATATCATGTATGTATATTTATGTGTATATACATGTATGATATATGTATATATAATAGTAGTATAAATCAGATAACCAAAACAAGCTATGTTTTATGTTAATAAAAGATAAAACAGAAAGAATAAGATTTAATTAATAACACGTTTTATACTACTCTTTTTCTACAGTATTCTTCGCTGCATATGTTAAAATGTAATAATATATTTTTTAATAGAAAATACATTTTTAATTATTGTATTTTATTCTTAATTGTAGACCTGAAAAGTGTAGAATAAAAAATGGAATAATGTATGTAGCGTATATACTGGCTTATATTGCTCAAACAGCTGATAATTAAAATTTATTGTGCTTTCTGTTTAAAATATCTTACAATCAAAATATTGTGGAATGATTTTTTATGTAATAGCAAATTAATTCAGGTACAATTACTAAGATATATATTTTTAATATTAAAAGAAATTTTAAATATAAAGAAAATGATCTCGTTTATTTAAAATACAACTGAAGAAACAAACAAGACAACAATATTATAATTATGTTGGATAAAATTACAAAATGATACCAGGATGTAATAGAGACTTCAATCAATATTGTACATCTATACATATACGACAGTATTTAGCGTTTTTAACATTTACTGACAGTATACACATGATAATCGCAAATTTCGAATTTATAAATTTAGGTATTTAAAGAATGTCATGACATTGTCGATTCAATTTTTGGTTTCAAAATTTGTTCATCATCATCAAAATCCCGAAAGTAGAGCTATAATTATTTTATTTCAAAACAAAATTTGGAGTCATATTTCTATATCTGAATTTTTAACAAGTGCCATACATAGGTTTATGATAATTATAAGAAATAATATGAGGAAATATAAGAAGCTGATATGCGAAAATTATAAGAATAGTATAATTGAAAACAGTTTACCTATGAGTTTCTAAATAAAATAATTCTATTACAATAGTTCATAATTTTATATTAACTTTATCTAGCATATCTTTTTTTATTGTTTATTAGATTCATTTTGTAATTTTGAGGGACTGTTTTTTCGTAAAATAGACAATGAAATATTCATTATCTCCATGAATATTGCATCATCGGTATATCCACTGATTCTTGGTGATTTCAAACGAACTTACGCAACACTTCAAAGAAATTTATGGAAATGCATAAAACAGTTATAGTAATATAGTAAAAAGTTTATTTTTAATAGCAGGTAAAAAATATATAAAACGATTTTAAAATTGATCAGAGTATAAAAAGTAATATTTTATACATTGTCATACTATATTCATATTTAATACAATATTTAAATAAATGTTATTTGTGTTCTTGTTTGATTCACTTGCCATACATTCAGCGCCTCGTATTCTTCGATACAATCGTTAATTTGGTCAGGTTTAAATCCTTTACTAGTACAGCGTTCTAATATCTCTGATACTTTAATAGTTTTCTTTTCGCCCGCTAGTTCTCTGATAAGATAAAAGATTCGGTTCATTGGATTTTGTTGTGCGTTTGACGTTAATGTCTCAGAATAGTTAATAGAATGTTTAGACATTTCTATTAATCTATTCGCCTCAATAATATCGTCCTTTTCAACAACATCTGATAATCTTAAACGAGCCAGAGCAGTTGATAAACGTAATAACGCCAATAAATTACGTGCAGATGTAAACGTTTTATCTTCGCTATTACGGGCGACTCTTCTCATCTCTACATAAGATTCTAAAAATAATAATAGTGAATATGTACCAATATATTAAAGAAAATCAAATTCCATATGTGAAAAATTATGACAAAATCCCTTACCAACTATATAGTCCGTTAAATCTTCAGGTATAACTGGTTGTTTCGTTTTACATAACGTAATATATTTTCTAATTAAATTCATATCTAATGCTTGCGATTCCGTAGGAGGTTGTATACTATGCTGATGAACGTAAGTTATATGTTGAGCCATTCTAAAAAGAGTATGCTAAGTTAATTATCACATTCTGCAAATACCAATATATATTTACGTAAATACTGACTTTAAATCATTATTACGATCCGCTCGATCTTGAATTAACCATAATAAATCAAATCGTGATAATAAAGCAGCAGGCAATTGAATATTTTGTTCAATTGTTCTTTTAGGATTATATCTGCCATAAGCAGGATTTGCAGCAGCTAATATTGAAACCCTTGCATTTAAACGAGTTGTGATGCCTGCTTTAGCGATTGATATAGTCTGCTGTTCCATCACTTCGTGAATAGCTGTTCGATCTGCATCTGCCATTTTATCAAATTCATCAATGCAACACACACCTTCATCTGCTAGTACTAGAGCTCCCCCTTCAAGCATCATTTGTCCAGTTAATGGATCTTTCATAACCGAAGCAGTTAAACCTACTCCAGAAGATCCTCTGCCAGTTGTATACTGAGATCGAGGCGCCAATCTTGTTATGAATGAAAGCAATTGCGATTTGGCAACTCCAGGATCACCCATTAAACAAATGTTGATATTACCTACAAACGATATATGTTTATTAATATTAAAAGCGAAAATAATTATCGCATTATATTATAATCATAACTAAATAAAAGATAAACCTCTAATTTTAATATCATCTTTTTGTTTATCTGTTCCACCAACTAGAAGTAATAATAGAGCTTTTTTAACGTCTTCAAGCCCATAAATTTCTGGAGCAATTGACTGAGCTAATCTGCCATAAAAATCATCTTCCATTAATATAGATAATTCTTCATCAGTCAATACAGTGGTACTGTCATCAGCAGTTTCAGAATTAGTAAGGCAAACAATTCTCTATATCATACAAGATACTTATATTTAGCTAATATGAATATTAAAATATATCAATTACTATATTGGTACAACAATCAAATTCATACATGTGCATCCAAATATGTTTCATTTAAAAGAGCTGCACCAACTCTAGCAATAAAACCAGATTTGATGATGGGCAAAAAGATGCCAGTAATAAGTACATGGTCTCCAGGTAAACACTTTCTTGTTGTTTCTCCTCTACAATATACTGTCAGTGTTCTTGGAATGTGTCCTACAGGAACTTGATCACTCTAGAACAGTTAAAATAATAATATTTAGTTACTAATTAATAATTAGTTATAATAATAATTAATTGACATTATATATACTTACATGTTCTTGTATTTTTAATTCTTGAAATTTTACAAATTTTGAACCTCTTGTTTGCATATCTAACACTCCACCAGATTTATTTATGCGACAATCATCACTAGGACATGTCCGTAATGGCATGTATTTAAGTGAGTGCACCTACAAATTTTTATCTTATTTAGTTTGTCTTCCATATCATAAACAAAAATATTAATATCTTACTGGTTGAAATGTTTCTGCACCACATTGATCACACGTGTATGTAGCAACAACAAGAAGTGGCAGTACATCACTGCATCTAGTTACTATACCTCTTACTGTAACCAATTTTCCTATTTTATCTGCTTTTATATCTCTTACAGAATAACTTTTTGCTGTATCAAAATCTTTAAAATATACTTCACTAAAATATAAGTTATATTTTTTTGTATTATAAATGTAAATTCGAACTTATAAAAAGATAAAACACAAAACAATAAGAAAATAAAAATACAAGCGTCTCATAAGTTCTGGAGCATATTTATTTCTTGTATCACGCTGTTCGCCAAGATGAACGTTACGGCTTTCCATCAATAGTCTGTGTTCAATATATACATCTAATGCATCTTTTGGTAATACAGTTCGAGTTTTATATTCAGGTAACATCTCTTGAATAAGCTGAATAAATGTAATATCATTTTTTTTTATCCATTCATCATTACAAGCAAAAGTTTATTTTAAATTTTATATTAAAAATTAAATATATGTATTTATATTTACATGTATAAGGTATATATAAACTTACTTCTAAAAGCAAATTGACATATCTTCGTGTATTATTTGCAATAGATATAGCTAATTCTTCATCAAACTCATGAACATCATCTAATTCTATTGTAATATCTATCTGTTCGCGATGAGCGATATTAACGAGTTGCTTTTTATATTTAAATACTTTTTCACCAGAATTGCTATCTGCTATCATAAACTCTGTTAAAAACAGTTTTAACTGGTCTAAAACATAACATAGAAAAATTAAATGATATGCTAAACATTTTAAATGTTTATTAAAATTTCAACGGTTAAATGATATTTAGGGTACAAGCAATTACCTTTGGCTTTTGTATAATCTCTCAGTATCTTCGACGGCATTTTATTAAATGTATTTCTTCAACTAATTGCAAATTTACTTTAAATCTATCCTTTATTTAAATAAATCAATCCTTTTTAGGATCGTATTAAACACAATTATACCTTTAAGAATACTCTTCCCGCTCAAATGTTTACAGCGCTATAGTATTGTAATGCTAGGTTCACATTGGTTTACACTAGAGACAAATGTGAACGAGCAAAGAGGAACTGTAAAGTCAAGTGCAAATGTGGTTACTTTGGGGAAAATGGCAGCCAAAAGGAACAAGTTCATCCCATTTGCAATATATTTGCGCATTTATACGCATTATGCACAATTTACTGAAGGTATTTTTGAAATAGGTAAATAATGAAATTTTTGCAAGTACAATCTTACTTTCAAAAGTAAGTTGTTTTATTACGTATTTCACATTTTAGAATGATGATTTAACATTTTTTTAGTAGATTATATTTTAGTGGACATTTTTATAAGTGGATTTTACATTCTTTTCTACATTTATCACCGAAATACTGCGACAATTTAATACATAAAAATAGACGTAAAACATAATAGTTTATCATAAAATAGTTATTTTAAAATGTAAACATTTTAGAAACCTTATACTTACATGTATTTTAAACTGTACAGTTTCGCGCTTATTGTCAAAAAAGAAGAGCTAAAAAATTTCATTTTGTATACAAAATCTTTAGTCATCTAGCATAAAAACGTGGCTTTATCGTGTAGATAGCAATAACTATATCTGCGGTCACTGTCAGTAGAACAATTTGCGAGCGTCAACAAAACATAAATATGTCTAATGTTAAAAAAAAGAGATGTAATTTGTTTCGATAGTTCCGTGTTTGACCACTAAATGACGCCAGTACAAAATACAGTTTTCTGATAATAAGCGCGAAAATGTGCAGTTTAAAATTCTTACATTCATGTAAGAATGAGGCTTCCAAAATGCTTTTTGTTTCTTTTTTTTACATGTTAAATTATCGCGGTATTTCGGTTAAGTATGTAAGAAAGAACGCAAAATATAATTATGAAAAAATATTAACTTAAGTTCTGATACTCTTATTAGAATGATCTTTCTGAAACATATAATGTGCAACACAACAGTTTGCTTTAGAAGTAGGCATGTACTCGTTTTAAAATTTTATTATTTAACAATTTTGAAAATACCTTTTGTAAATTGTGCATAATGTGTATCAATGCGCGAGTGTATTGTGGGTGGTAAGAACTTGTTCTCCTTTGCTGCCATTTTCCCCAGAATAGCCAGATTTACACTTGAATGTACATAGTTTGCTATCGTTCGAAGTATAGTAATTTTTTATCAAATAGTATTATAATTATTCTAATAAAAATTATATAAAATAATTGTATGCAAATTTTTCTTGTAGTGACAAAATAGAGAACTTTACAAAATATCTGTAAAATTTAATGTGGTACAATTGTTTATATACACTCATACACATACAAGTATATGCTACGTTGAATAACGTAAAGCTCATGCCAGTGTAAAGTTTATACAATTTGAAACTCGAACCAATACAATTGCATACAACTGTAACTCGTTCTGTATTTAATGTTCTGCTCGTATCAACTAGTACAATTAATTAAATTTTTCTGCGCAGTTTTAATTTAAAAGGATTAAATTTTTGAAGTTATTATTAAGTTTATGACAATGGCAAATAATGGTATTATAATTTTTTATTACAATATGATCTGTCACGATTAAAATCGTCAATTATGTATGAAAATATATCTGTGTTTTAGAAGATAATAAGACTGAAAATGCAGCTGAAGTTATAGAAGAAAATGAAAATGATGATGCAGAGAAGATTCTTATTATAGATCCTGATAGCGAAGTTTGTTTTCATTATTTTCTTAGTATTAATTCTTAATGAAATAAATTACAAAATTTTTTTACTTGTTTTTATCTTATATAATTATTTTCATTTACATTTTAGGAATTAGATTTTAATCATTCAAGATTAACAAAACTAGAAAATTTGGAACCATTGAGGCAAATACGCAAATTATGTTTCACATGGAATTTAATTAAAAAAATAGAGAATCTTGATACTCTTACAACATTAGTTGAACTGGAGCTAAGGGATAATCAGATTGTTGTTATAGAGAATTTAGATGCTCTTGTAAACTTAGAGTATGTAATCTAAATAATCTAAATGATTAATTTTTATATAGTAATTAAGAAGTTACAAATTAATAAGACTTTTATCTATTTTATTTTGAACTGATATTAACATAGAATTATTACTTTTTTCAGACTTTTAGATTTATCTTTTAATCGTATTAAAAAAATAGAAGGGTTAGAAAATTTATCGAATTTACAAAAATTGTTTTTGTCGTCAAATAAGATCCAATGCATTGAAAATTTGTCACATTTAAAAAATCTCACAACTCTCGAGTTAGGTGACAACAAAATACGAGACATTGTCAATCTTGAGGGTCTTGATAATTTGACAAGCTTATTCCTTGGTAAAAATAAAATAACAAAAATCGATAACTTGGGATGTTTACAAAATCTTCAATTATTAAGTCTTCAAAGCAATCGTATTACAAAAATAGAAAATCTAGAAGAACTAAAAAAATTAGACCAGTTATACTTGTCTGAAAATGGAATTACATGTATTGAAGGATTATTAAGTTGTTTGGAATTAACTACATTGGATTTAGCTAATAATAAAATTAAAAAAATTCAAAACATTGATCATCTTGAAGAACTGAAGGAGTTTTGGGTTAGTATATTATATTAACATGTTCACTGATACTTATATGAATCAGTATACTCTCTATTCGCATATCTGTTGACCTATATATTGCAGAGGAATATCTAGGATAAGGAATCCTATCACTTTCATAGATATACGAGTGGGGAGTGTATTTTTGTCTTAGACTATGAAAGTATTGATTTGAAGTTATGTTTTTATTTTTTGAAATATATTTTACAGATAAATAACAATGAAATTGAAGAATGGACAACAATAGAAAATTTAACAGCTAATAAGAAATTACAAACTGTTTACTTAGAACATAATCCTATTGCTAAAGATCCAAATTATAGAAGAAAGATGAAATTATTGTTGCCATGGCTTATTCAGTTAGATGCAACACTTTGCAGATAAATACTATAATAATACCACATAAATTATGCTACAATCATTTTTTAGATTATGTTTATTAACATTACAGCTCACTTCATTTTCAAATTATTTTAAAAGATTAATTTCAGAAAAATGGAAAGTCAGAATTATATTCTTAAGCTTGCAGGTCAAAGATGTAAAATTTTCCTCAAGAAGGAAATGTATTTGTCTTTCTTACACTTTACATTTTAGTAAGCATTGTGAATGTATTGTGAAATGATAAAAAGTAATCACAACTTTAATAATTAAAAATATAAATTTATAAAAAAATAATATATTATTTTTACTAAACATTTATTTTAATATTGTACCAAAATTTCAAAGTATTTTACTCAAAACTGGTGAATTTTATAAGTATGTAATAATTTACTGAGTATTTTTTAATTCTTTTTTGATTATGTAAACATGTATGTGTCTATTTCAAAATCTTGAATGCTTTTTTTATAATTACATAAATTTAGTTGCAGTGTTCAATAAATATTGTTAGTTGTGTTTTAGTTTTATAAACAAGAATACCAAATGAATTATTAAGCAATAATAGTGCAAAGATATTTAGTGCAAATTATGTTTTATTTAAATTTTTTAATTTTATAAAATATTCAATATATGTACATATTTATTTTACCTTGCAATTTTGCTGCATATGAAATTCATAATCCTTGCAAAATGTTTTTATATAAATTAAGTAAATTTACGTTTTTATTTAATTGATTTTAAATGTTTTACATTCTCCCATTTAATAAGCTTACACTGTGAAATGTAATTTCGCTCTCATCAATGTACATGTCAAATATATTAAAATTACATAAATACATATTTGATACTTATAAATACGTTCATCAATTATCACGAATTTCAACTTTTTCATGCAAAAAATAAAATGGTAGAAAAACAGTGAATCACTCTATTATTTTGAAACTATTTTAATCTAATCTTCTATTAACAATAGAAAATATGTACTTTATAATATACTCATATGAGTTCATTAATGTCATTTATTCGAAATTTATTACATAACTAATAATATATTCATAGACATAGTATACTAACATTACATCATATGATACCATATGCTTACATGTATTCTGCATATCTACTATCATTGTAAGTATAAGAAGATAACAGAATTTAACCAATATTCGCAAAATATGACGTGTTTATATCTTCAGTTTCAAATACATATTGCATGATGCAACATTACATGTATTTTCATATCGTATACTTGATTTAAGTTTGTTTTAAATGTATTCATTATTGATTTAATTGGAAACATACTGAAGTTATTGCTTCAAATTTGTACTTCTATGTGAAATATATTACCTATTATGCTTTTTACTTTTAATGGAATTTTACAGGTTTATAGAACAACCAACAAAGGAGAAACTACGTGTTTTTTTATCAGTCAAAATTTAAAGTTACTCTTTAAAAATTGACAATTTCAAAGGTAGATAATTGACCTAATCACAGAAAACATATTTTACAATTATTTTTGTGGATTCTCTTTTATTTTTTTTTTTTTGCTAAAACTTTTGAATGTAACTTTACTTAGTACCCAAACAAATAAAGCAAAAATATTGATATTTGAATTACATTGTTTTCTTAAAAAAGATATATGTACTACACATTCACAAAACTCATGTTACCTGAATTATGAATTTTGCGAAGGCTAAGACACCGATGATACATACATCAATAAATATTTCATTATTATTTATAATAAATATGATACGTGCCGTTGGAAAAGACAAATTAATGAACGTATCAAACAGTATTTCTAAATCTTGACATGTTCTAGGTCTGAATTTGATTATATATCGCATGGTCTAGATATTAAATATCTATGGCGAAAATCTTTCGTGAAATAGAGTATGTATGTTTTCATAACGGAGGTTATTAAGTGTCAGATCGACTTGGGTTAAATTATATGATAACTAATTGCATATTTAACTACAAACTGAAAAGTCATTTCATTTTATAATTGAGTTCAAAATAATATATATATATATAGGTATAAAATATTCAATGTATTTGTAGAACTAGGTACTATTGCACTGATCAAATTTCGCGGGCTTCTATGTTGTTATAGTAACAAACAAAAGTACGCATGTATGATATGAATTAAATTCGCGGTAAAGTTTCGCAAGCGCTTTGTACTCTAATACTTTTCTAGTATATATCTTGCACTCAAACAATTTTTTTTATTTCTATTAGATTGTATTCCATATTGATACGTCACGAAAAAGCTGATGTTTCTAAAAAAGACGTAATCACAGTTGTTAGAACGACGTAGTCATAATAGTATTACAGTATATTTACAATCGCATACATACGATACTAGTAAAATTAATTTGTGATTGGTTCTGATATGATAAACGTGAATCGTGATTGGTCGATATGATAATTCAGGGTATAGATAGTGAAGCACGCATGAATTGAATGTGACGTCACCGTCAGTACTCGCGATCGGCCATTTTGTGAGTGTGTACTGGATCAGGATATTTGTGTTAAGAATATTTTTCAGTAAAACCGAATGATTTAGTTTACAAAACGAGACTTGCTTTACTTTTATTACATGTGCTAAGAGTGTGGAATATTCTTAGATCTGACATAGATTCATACGATGGAGGAGAAAGCATCGTTGAAAGAACTCGACCAGTGGATAGAACAATTAAATGACTGCCGACAACTAACAGAAAGCCAAGTAAAAACTCTATGCGAAAAGGTACTTTATTCGTCCTAAACTATTTTTTAGCTGATTTCTATATTGCTCCTCAAATATAGTATCTTTTTTAGCTTGCTTCACAATTAAATCTATTTCGCTATTTTATGTTCGTTTACTCATATTTTACAAGCCACTGAGCATGGTTTGATGTGTCATTATAAATTTCACTGTGATTCGTTTAAATATCTTATATATGCAGTATAAAAACTATTCATATTTACGTCTTCTGATTTTATTAAATTTTAAGTTTCGGTGAAAATCTGATTCGATTGCAATCGAACGCCGAAACGACCATGTTCGTTGTTATTCAGGTTTCTACTACAACTTGTTCGTATTTGTGAAATTGGTTTGTCGAATCACCTAACGATTCTATTTTTACATTGTGAGACTTTTTCCGGTATAAGATGCACTTTAATTTTTATGATTTAATATCTCACAAACCTGTGATTTTACATTAATTTTATTTTTGTTAAATTGCTCTTTTCTTTAAGAAGTTTCATATATATTCTGTATTGTATATGAATTCAACAATTAGGTATTTCCATATTATTGCAATTCTATTAATTAAAATATGAAATGAATATATATATCAATAGTATAAAATATAGTTAAATAGCTAACCAAAATACATATGTATATATACCAATAGTAATTAAAAATTAAATTGATTGTCATAGTCAATAAATTATTATACAGCATGTAAATTATTGAATTATAATTTAATATTTATCATTATATTTTTGATTGACATAAATAATATTTGGGAGAATAAGTTTATATTTAACGTCAATTTGACACATTTCAGTAAATTATATTTTGAATATGATTAATATATTGCTCATCATTTTTTATTAGTAAATAAATTATTAATTGTTCAATTTACTTTACCTTAATGTATGTCGATTAATTTTTTATAAAAATCTTTATATTATTTATTATTAGGTTTGTAATAAATATCTCTAATAATTAAAATTAAAAAATATTAGTAGAAATTCATTTTTATAACTATAAATATCAGAAGGATTAATATATTTTTTAGGCAAAGGAAATCTTAGCTAAAGAGTCCAATGTACAAGAAGTAAAATGTCCCGTAACAGTGTGTGGAGATGTTCATGGACAATTCCATGATTTAATGGAATTGTTCAGAATAGGAGGCAAGTCTCCAGATACAAATTATCTTTTTATGGGTGACTATGTAGATCGTGGCTATTATTCTGTTGAAACTGTTACCTTGCTTGTTGCACTTAAGGTATGTTGTACATAAATAATTACTATATGAAAATTAATTATTATAAACAAAAGAATTTAATATATTTTACTGTTTTATTAGTTTTATAGAATAATTAAATACATATTTTTATGTTAATGAACAATTCTATTTCTGCAGGTCAGATACCGAGAAAGAATAACTATTTTGCGAGGAAATCACGAATCAAGACAAATCACACAAGTATATGGGTTTTATGACGAATGTTTACGTAAATATGGCAATGCAAATGTATGGAAATTCTTTACGGACCTATTTGATTATTTACCATTAACTGCACTAGTGGATGGTCAAATATTTTGTTTACATGGTGGTTTATCACCGTCTATTGATACTTTAGATCACATACGTGCCCTAGATCGTCTTCAAGAAGTACCACATGAGGTTAGTATTTATCTCTTTATATTTATCCGTATAAAATTGCAAAGAAAGAGTAAAAAATATATTTATTTGTATCTTTAGGGTCCCATGTGTGATCTTTTGTGGTCAGATCCAGATGATAGAGGAGGATGGGGTATTTCTCCTCGTGGGGCAGGGTATACATTCGGACAAGATATTTCAGAAACTTTTAATCATTCTAATGGCCTGACACTAGTGTCACGAGCACATCAGTTAGTTATGGAGGGCTACAATTGGTATATTCATTGAAATTATTCAATTATGATTTAGTTTGTATTATATTTGTGTATTACTGTATAATATGCTCTATCATGTATTATACATATATTGCTAAAAGGTTTTTGATTTTATGCATATATATGTTGTTACAGGTGTCATGATCGTAATGTTGTAACTATATTCTCAGCACCTAATTATTGCTATCGTTGTGGAAATCAAGCTGCAATTATGGAATTAGATGATGCTTTAAAATATTCATTGTAAGATATAAAGAACTGATTTTTAAGTGAGTTAGTTTTGTTTATATTTTTAATATGACCTTTGTATTGTGTATTTTTTTAGCCTTCAATTTGATCCAGCTCCAAGACGTGGAGAACCACACGTTACTAGGCGGACACCAGACTACTTCTTATAAAGAGTCAAACCCCCGAGTTAACTATTAAGGTAGGGGTATGGAAATGATTCAGGCTTTATAGCAATGCCACTGAACATAATTTATGATCGATAAAAGTGTGAGGTTCCAACTATCCTCACACGTTACATTATAGTCTCAAGTATTATATCATGACTCACTTTGTGGTGTCTTGTTGAGAGACGGAACACACATCCACATACTTTGCGTGTGTCCCACACCATACATGTAGACACAACATTAATTGTATACAAATAGAAAAAAACAAACAATAATGTACACACGTACCAATTAAAATTCACGTATAGCATTGAGTTCCACAACCTTCATTATACTGCTTGTATTTTTATTATCAGAAAGGAAAAGAAAATGAAAAAACTGCATTGATTGAACATAATAAGTAGCGCGAAAAAGAAATACGCATGGTGTTATTTTGAAACCTTGAACAAATATTAATTTATTGAAAACTGTTTATACAAGCAAGATTATTTGTTGCATGTACTGAATAGAAATAATGTTGTTTAAGGTTTCAAAAAATGTACCAAAATGATTATAATTTATATTTAAGAGTGTCACATAATTATTAGCGTGAATGGAGCATGAAATGTTCCACTTAATGGAAATATAAAGAGGGTTGATGCAACTGTAAAAATCGGCATATTTAAATCGTGCCGTATAAGCAATTTAACAAATTCTTTAGTATATTTCTTTAATAACTGTAATATAGCATTACACATAATAATTCATCAGAATCATAGCACCTATTAATTTTGCTACTGTTATCGATGTTATTTTATTAAATATATCAAAATATAATTTGTATATATCATATTTTTATAGTAATAATGAGAACATAACGTATCAATTATGTTTATTCATAATTGGAAACAAACAATAAAACGAGCTCATCGATTATGTTCATTTTCTAGTGTTTATTCTATTTTACTCGTGTTTCTCGATTTTTATTTTTCAAACATAACTTTTAAATGTTTATATAAATACAATCCCTCAATTGTCTTAATTTTTATAATTTAAAAAACACTTTTGCATCAATCCTATTAAGACTTCCTAAGTGAAACACACACTTTATACTGAACGAATTCATGCATTCATGATCATTAAATTGAAAGTTAATTGCTTGTGAACCTACCAATGACTTTTTTACTAATTAATAGATATAAAATGATGCTTCTGATAAATAAACATGTGTAATGCAAGTTAAATGAACTTAATGTGTTGTGTCAGATCATTCATATTTGTCGATATAGACACTGTATACATGAAAATTGGATGTATTCACAGAATACATGCTTTCATAAAAGTAAGCATGTAATTTGACGTATGCATAATGAAACGATACAGTAGTAGCAATAAAATGAGAAAAAATGAAACATATAGATGCACATGATAGCAGTTTATGAAGACTGTAAATCTAAAAGAAAATAGTACAGAAACCGTAACATCGTGGATATATCAATTATTTCTGCATGATGCAGGGCTAAGCATTTTTTCATTTTCATTTTATATATTATATATTAAATATATTTTTTGAGTTATAAAAAATAATAAATTTCCGCGTTTAGGATGAACAGATGATAGTATTATAACAAAAACAAATGAGAAACATGTCTTAGAGAAAAATCGGTACTAGATTTTAGAACGCGTATTATTAATTTTATACTTGCTATATTTATTGTTTCCTCGAAGTATTTTATATGAAATAGATACATTTCAGTACCACAATCAAACATATTAGCTATTAGATTCAGTATAATACTTTATAGATTAATAACTTTTTTGTTTATCATGTTTTATGTATAATAATGTGACACTTTAAAATCGTAATTCCTTTCATTGTAAAGACCGCGCAGCAACATTTTTCTGTTCTACTTCAACTTGAACACTGAACATTAGACTTTATGTATCTACATGCAGGTTTTGACAAAATGATTATAAACTTGAATTCATGTAAATCAAAAAAGATATACTTTTATTTAAAGCTGATTGATTGATCACCAATGCACATGCATAAATTCAGTTGGAAAGTTAAAATGCCTCAAACTTATTTGTTTTGTAAATAAATTCAAGAAAATATAATCAGTTTATGCCTGTATATAATTATTATATACATTAGCGTAACTAGGTAGAGATTCAGGATGGGCCTAGATGCCTTAAAATGCAAACTAGCGTTTCTTTCTAAAATCTTATTTTAATAAAAAAAAAAAGAATATTTGAGCAGAAATGTAATATGCAATACAAATGAAGACAATTATATGAAATTATAAATAAAAGTTACATTAGAATTAAGCAATATTAGAGATTTAAAGAGATTTAACTTTGAGTAAAATCATGGTACCTGGCCTACCCTAGAAAGAAATTCTAGTTACGCCAATGATTATATATTACATACATATGCCATTGTATATATCAATTTCAGATAACATTTTTTACTGTATCTTTTGCAGCACTTTATATCAATCAAAGCAAATGCTACAAATAACTGTGTTTTACATGTGTGCACTTGGTTTATAACTTTCAGCATGCTTTCCCATTTTTAGACTTCATGTAACTTAAAAATATTAAGTTACGAATATCCAATTGACTTGCAAATTCTGTATTTACACAGATGTTGCAGAAACAAAAAGAACAGTACTACACCATGAACTGATATTATGTCGTCTCATTATAAACAGATTAGAGAAATAAAAAAATGTTATCATATTTAGGAAGTCTTATATCATTTTTACACATTAAACTACTGTAATGCAGAACATACAATGAACAGGACTAATTGTCAGATTACTGGATAAATAATTATTTACATGTATTCTAATATAAAGACTTTAAAAATAAGTTTTTATAGAAATAGATGAATTTTTATGAATTAAAATCGTATTTATAAATTACATAATTTTAGTAATACCCAAATATGTACAAAAATAAACATTTATTAAGGAATAGTTAAATAAAAATAAATATTTCAAATTTAAAAATCAGCAAAAAACATTATTATTTATTGTAATATTTCAATATAAAGTATGAAAAATTTTATTTTTATGCAGAAAATTCATTTGAATAGTATATTTGATCATTTTTTAAATGGTTCTTTTATACTACTTTTAATTAATAAAGTTATAATAAATTTAAATAGGACAAGATAACTACACACAAATAATTTATTAATAAACCATTTATAAATTTAAATTGCAGTGCCTTCTTTACGACTGTTATTATATACATTTTTCTAGAGCATAATGATAAATAATAATAAATTCATTATTTATCATTATATTACAGAATATGCATATTGGATAAAATTATCGACTCTACTTTAACAACATTTTAATGAAAGTATACAATTATAATTATGTTTTTCTGCTTCAATTTTTACATATTATAATAACTTGATACATTTTCTATACAAAATATTACAAACATTACCAATTTTATACATACACTTATTGCTAAATTAAATAAATAAATAAGGAATGCAAAAATTAAATTTTGTTCGAACATCTTGTATATAATTTTATATGCAAGTAAAACATCCGTTTTTATACTTAAAAAATAATTCATCTTTAATTATAAATATTTATTTCAACTTTAATTAATATTTTAAAAAATTATTAAATTCAAGAATTCGGTAAAATATTCGAGTTTGTATGAAAATGAAACTGTAATAATATTGAGTATATTTTAGTATTTGTGAAAAGATTATTTTACTAATTACAAATGTGCGAAATTAAAATATTAAAAATACTTTATACATCCATCTAATAAATTAAAGTTTCATTCCTGTGTCTAAATTCAATATTTGTTTCATCATTTCATACGTCGTAAAACTAACTGATACCATAGGAATGGCTCTTAAAAAATTTATACTCATTCCACGATACAGACCTTTTATAATACCATTTTCTTTATATATCATTTTCATAGTTTGTAACATACTAGCACTAAAAAAAAATTATAATTTAATTGAATTATGTACTCCCCTTTCTATTTAATGACAAATTGAATAGTATATATATATATAATATATACCTATATTTATGTGTAGCATGATTCATCATAGCTAATTGCATACGTCTTCTAGTAACATCCAATGGATAAGAAAAACTTTGAGCAATAGCACCTGCAATACCTCCACATAATAATCTTGCTGATGTAGTTAAAACTAAACCACCTGTAATCATATTTATAATTTTATTAATTATAATCAATATGTAAAATGTTAAGCTCATATTTAATATTAATACATATCATGAAAAATTCTTTTATCTAGGAGTTGTGAAACAATTAGAATAATTTTTCCAGATTATCTGCTAGTTTAAAAAATTTGAGAAGAACATTTTAATTAAACTATCAATAAAAATAAAAATTTAATTTAAAATTAAATAAATTTCTTAACACATTTTTTTATAAAATATATAAATTTTTTATACTAGTTGAAGCTTTATATTTATCATACCAGTATTTCTATCACATTTCTCACAAAAATAGTGTGGTGCATATTTCATACACAAGTATTTAAGCTGTTCAAATGAGTAGAAGGAAAATCCAGCATATGGAATCATGCCAAATATAGTTGGCAAAAATCCTCTATATAGAGCTCGAATACCACCTTCCTGAAAATATCATATTAATACTGACAATAATTTTTTGAATTTATATTTTTCTATGAATATATAAAATGTTATTACCATATTTGATAAAATTGTATTTAAACTTTGAATATTATATATCTAATAGAAATCACATTAATATTTTTAACCATTTTCTTTAGTAATACATAGTAAAACATAAATTAATTATAGCTTACTTTTTTAAAAATTGTTATAGCTGCATGTACAATCCCTCCATAAATATGTTCTCCAGTGACTTGAAAAGCAAGTCTAGCTCTAATGACATCTAATGGATATGTCAATGTAACTGCTGTGACACCAGCAGCAGACCCAGCAAAGAACTTATCTATGTGTGTATGCTTCCCAAATAAACCGCCTAGATACTAGTAAGAATTAAACGTAACTTAATAAACTTGCAATTCTACATGTATGTTAATATTTCTATAACATAAAAATATTTGTTGTCCCCTTTGATCACAAATTATGTACCTTTTTTAATATTTTGGTTTTTATACTATTATATTTTTATATTTATCTAAAAATACATTTGGACATTTGAATTCAAGAATGAATCTATATGATTAAGGCTCACCTTTAAATTATGAGCATGTCTTTATACTAATAATGGTTACTTCTCTCTGTGGAATCACTTTACCCAGAACAAATTTGATATTATTTTTTAACTGCTTTAGTATAAAAATTAAAAACCAAATTGATAACTACCTTTTTGTATAATTCAAATGTAGTAAATTGTGTTGCAGCATATGGGAAAATTCTAACCATTTGAGCAAGATTTCCTTTGTACAAAGCAAAAAATTGTTCGCGTTGGATTACTTCTTTTAGTCCAGAAACAACACCTATACCAAAATAATATTTAAGTTGTGTTTCATATAATTTTTAAATATTTGTATTGTAATAACATCAATCATTTATTTTTACCTAAATGCTTATAGTGTTTGTTATGTGCTTGCAATAATATTTTTATTCTATCTAATGGGGCCACTGTTGTTTTTGAACACATTCCAGCCATGCCTATTAAAAATTTATTAAAGATTTATTATTGTTATGAAATAGTATTTTAATAATTCCACAACAAATTGCTATTATTTTTTAATATTAATAAAATAACAAATATTTGATGTTACATACTAGTTACACAAGAAAATGTTTTGGAATATTCTACACAAACTACAATGAATTGGTGAGATAATACTTATTTTTAATTTCATAGTAAGTAAATAGAAACAATTATAATGAATATAACAAAATATTTAACTTACCACCGGCAAATAAACTTTTTAAGAAAAATAAATAGTTCTCGGATTCAGCTTGAAATACCATTGTTAGGATGTAATCATATAAAAATGACAAAAATGGAATGTAAGAACAAAATTGAAGCATCCGTTAGGAATGATTACTGTATTGACGTTGTTTCATCTTGAAGCTCACGATAACGAGGTCAGTGATTTTGACTTACTTTTCTTATTCATATAGAAATACCAGATGTTTAGGTTATGTTTTTCATAAATATGGACTTTAACACTATGTTACGAAATATTGATAAACAAAACATTTTAACAACATAAATTATTTGTATTTAGATATTTGAATACATTTAATATTCACCTTCTAAATCAGTAATTGTTATCTTTAGTTAAGCAATAAATTACGATATGTAGTACATATAACATTTACGTATAACTGTTATTCGTAAGAAAAATAGTTACTTTAAAAAATGTACAGTTATTGAAATTTAATATTGAAAATAATGTATAACCACAATTGCGCTCGATTTTTTATTTCTGAGACTTTACACATATTTCATACATATGTATACTTTATTTTCACTTTTCGTTTCCCACTCGCTACAACCTACTTTTTAACTTTCTTGTTTGTATGTTTCATTGATCACGTTAAATGAATTTCTGAAACTTCTTTTATTTGTTTAACTTAATATTAAATAGAAGTATAAACTTATTTGGTTTTATAAACTATTTTCACATTTATTCATTTATTAAATTAACATCTTACAAAAGAATTAACTTGTATAAAATTCTTTAAGATATTCTGCTTTAGGTTTAAGAATTGCTTTATCTTTAAGACTAATGACCCAACCAGGTTCAAGGCCATAAAATAATTGTCTAGGATCTTTACGTTGGTTAAGCATTTCATAATCTGGATCATCTTCAATTTTTGGGAGTTCATAACCATATTTCTGAGATAAAACTAATCGTTCTTTAGAAATCTCTTCAGGATTTGCTAAATATCCTCTTGTTGCTGCACTCATATAGTATTCTAAACAATCTGTTGGTGGCATTAGCCTACGTGGAATTGGTTCTCCTAAATATTTAAATGCATCTTAATTACTATATTAAAGGATTTTTTTTAGTTGTAATATAACCGAACAATTTACCAGTAGTAAAAAATCTATCTACATCATTTATTGCAAATAAACAATGAGGATCATAATATGCAGTAGTAATAGTGCCACCATTTCTTTCAATCGCTGCAATTACAGGTTCACTAGCCCATTGAACTTCTATATTTACTTTTGCTTTAAAATTATCTGCCCCCTTTAAAGCAATTTTAAAGAAATTACAAATTATTTCTTACACAAAAGATTGTAGTTCACTCTGGAATGGACATATATGGTTCCATAGACTCATATAGTGATTAATATTGAATTGACAGTGTTCACTGTCATATTTCCAATTGATAAAAGATTGTTATAGTATTGCATATCAATACTATGTATTCTTTTGCATTAATTTAAAAGTTAAAAGCTAAAATTTAAAAGATCAAATGTAAAATCAAATTTGCAGTTTACATTTCAGTTAATCTTAGACTTACTCATCTCATGTTTACAAAGTACACCAGATGCCCATTCTAGAGTTAATATATTTATGTAACAAAATTAATACCTCATCTGTAAGGTGAACACCTGCATGTTTCCATTCAATTTTAAAAGTATATAATCCTGTGTTAATTATTGACACAAGATCAATAGGTTTGGATGAATCTAATCTGTTTGTGTCAATATACATTTGTAACTGATTTAAAGATAAAGGAGGATATTCTCTTCTTAAACTGTAATATATATAAAATTATTTAACTGCATCATATGTTTAATTGTACAATTTGCTATATCTTTTTGTGTTCCAAATAATTTCATCCATGACATAACATTTTACAATAATTAATAATTCAGAATCAATGACAAAAATTAACAGCATGTTCTAAAATCTGAGCATTTGTTGTTACTCGAATTTGAAAATGTAATTAAAATTACTCTAAAATCAAATCACTCATGATATATTATGAATAATTATGAGCAAAATATAATTTATAATCAACTGTTGGATTTCGAAATCACCATAATTAGGTTTTAAAAACCAAATTATTGCTTATGGGTACTTGAGATTTGGAAAACAAGCTAAATAAAAGGAATAGTTTTGTACTTACATTAAAACTACACAATTTTATTATTTTGGTTATAATAAAATAAAGTTAATGAATTACTTACTGGTGACCTTTATAATATGGTTCACGACTAAATCTAAGGTAAAATGGGGTATTTCCAGTTTCATATCCAATGCGCATAAAATTTTGTCTTTGGCCTGAACCTTTATTGCCAGCTCCGTGTTTATCTCCACCATGTTGACCTCGACCACGTTGGGACTATAAAAAACATCTTCCATTTAAACTGATTATTATGAATTAAACATTACATGTTTATTCAAAACTATAAAATACATTATACTAACTAAATTAAAGTGACATAATTCAAATAATAGATAACAGAAAGAAGAAATATATTTTACTCACATTTTACTTACAGTTTATAAGATATAAGTAAATTTTTCTTTCAATTACATTTAAGTATAAATTATTATTAATATAATACTTACAGGCCTCCTTGCACCAGGATTATCTCGAATATTACCTAAACTTACTCTTGGTAATGTTCGTAATATTGATAGTGCTAAATCTTTGCCTTGTTTACAAGCCATTATTTAATAGATTATTTTACTTGAAACTTTATTTATATAAAATAATTTTCATCAAGTTTAAAACTATGTATTTTTAAAATACACTACTAGTCACTAACAAGTTACTGTAAATATTCGAGTATTAGTATGCATTATAACTGGTTTACATGAGACATTTTGTACATTTTACTAGCCTAGGGAAAGTTGCTGGCGCCATCTACTAGGAGAAGAAGGAAGGTAGAACTTATACTGCGCCCTCTTTTCTAGCGCCATAATTCAATTCTGCACTATTTTTCGTTATAAGTGTTTTTATTAATAAATTGAAACATTATATTATTCTCTTGAATAATAATTATTATTATTTTTAAGTATCTGTGAAGTTGAAATTGATAATTAAACTTACAAATAAGTATGAATTTATATATTTATATCGTGTCTTATTTGTACAGTATTAACAATTTTTTTAACATTTATAAAAAGTTTAATACAAGAAAATGAATAAGTTGCTCAATTTTTTAAACAATTACAGTACAAATGATAAATGTTGATATAATATCAAAATTTAATAAACCATTGGTTCTGATGTGGGTTCAGTAATTTCAACATCTCTGCATTTAGCATGTTGTAATTCTCGTCGTACTTCAGGTGTAATTGAATGATGAGATTGCTTTCTTAGTAATTTGAACAAAGCTTCTTTTTGTTCAGAGCTAATATCGCCTTTGTACCGTTGTACAAAAGTTAATAATGCTTGATGCCATAAAACTGGCAGTTCTCTAGGATCCCTTTCAAATCTACAAGTCAAAATTGTTATTAAATTATGATTATTAAAATAGACGATTTAAATTAATTAGTACTTTTACCTAATGAAATGAAATACAACAGCATCTATAACCCTATATGGTAAAGCATACTTTTTATCTAAAAATATTCTTAGAAAAATACTATTTGCTCCAGTATAATCCATTTCTGCAATTTTTAATATGGCTGCTGAAGAATGTAAAATTGGTATTGAATTTTTTGCAATTACAGATCCAATTATAACAGCTTCTCTTAATGTACATGTTCCAGATTCTAAAAGTGGAAGTAAAATTCCTTTCATGAAACCAGCAGGTTTAAATAATGCTTTACGTAATGCTTGATATAAATGAAAATTTAATTTTTTATATTCTGCTATATCATCCCTAATTCGAGGTAGTAATACTAGGTTATAAAATCTTTGTGCCATCTTTTCTTTAAGATTAGAAGCAAATATTCGAGTAGCCTGATACATTGCAGCAGCTGACCATTTTGTTGGATCTGTAATATATAATATCTGTTCCCAATTTCTTAAACTAGGAACAATTTTAAATGCTTTGGGTAATTTTCCACTTCGATACTTGGATAAAACATCTCTAACTCCTTCATACATTGTTTTAACTCTTGGATCTAATTCTTGCATTTGCATAGAACCTACATCTGAAAACTGAGTTTCAATTTCTGTTTTCTTTTCTGTTAATTTTTCTAATATTATATCAGCTAATGTTTTCATTGGTGCAGGATCTTTAGACATAAACATTTCTATAGCACGCTCATCTTCTTCGTTTATTTGAATATCCTCATAAAATTGTGAATCATCAAGCTCATCTTCACTTGATTGTTCTTCAGTGTCACTAAACTCATCTTCCAGTTTAACTAATGATTTTCTTGTTGATTTTGATGCTGGTCGTATTCCACTTTCTTCTTCAATTTCCATTTGTTGTTTTCTAGCTTGCGATAAAATCTTTTTGGTAAGAGAAGAATCCACAAACTGCACAGTTTAAATTACAAAAGTATATTACAAAGTTATAAAAGTCAAATTTTGTATAATTTTGTAACTTAGTAAAATATTCAGTAATAGAAACTATTAATATAAATCATTGATGAAAATAATTAATTGCAGTAATATGAACAGTAATAAATTACTTATGTATTACTTATATATTTTATAAATAATAAAATATTAACTTAACCTTTTCATCTTCATCATTACGAATTCTAATCTTATGTTTATTCTTCGACTTTACTGTTTTTTCTTCTTCTATTTGGTTTGCCAATCCAACTTTTGGAGGTTTCGTTTCGCCTTTAGAAACTTTTAACTTTTTTGCTTTTCCCATTTTGTTAGTTTAAAATAATTTACAAAATTAATATAAACACATGATATTTAATCCTAACCTCCTTTTCTTATACACTATTATCAATCATACCAATACTTTACATATACACTTTCTTTCAGCAAAGAATACGCCATCTTCTGTAGTTGAAGGAAAATAAAAACCAAACCAAGAATATGGCAACTAGATGACAATTTGCACGTTTCCCTAGTCGAGGGTGATTTCTGTACGAATGTAATATTCTACGGACTTCTCTTTCATGGTCATACAATATTGAAAAAAGCAAACATTAAGAATAATGTGCACAATATATAAAACAAAAGACATATTATACCAAATTTTTAATATATTTAGTTTGTAAAATCAGAAAAATCAATAAATGCAAAAATCCCATTCAAAATTTAGTTCCATTAGTTTCCACCTTCTACCGCTAGATGGCTAAGCATTTTGAAGTCCATAAAATACAATTATAAAAATCTTCAAGTATAATGTATGAAGCTCACTACAAAAATATTTTTCTGACCCTGTCATGCTCGTAGGAGTATTTACAAGAGTCAATGAAATTAAATAATACTTTGCTTTACGAAAGAACACACTTTTTTTGTTTCGATAGTTCTGCATTCTACTACTAGATAACAATAGTGATAATGTTTTGTAACAATAAGCGCGAAAATGCTTCTAAAATCCTTTCAGCTATTTAAATTAATTACTTTACGATAAATTATTGCTTTTTATATCTTTTTTACATATTAAATTGTCACAGTACTTCTGTTACGTATGCAAATTTAAATGTAATATTTAATTATAAACATATGTATGTTGACTTATATTCTGATGTAGTTTCCAGAATCACCTCTCTGCAACATAAATTGCATATAAGCTCTGTTTATACAAAGATATTTTTAGATGTTAATCATTCTGATTTGAACTTTTCTAAACTGAATTGAAACTCAACTTTAGTACATCCATACATCTCTATATACAATTTTCCAATTTCTAAATACTTATATATCAAAAGTAAAAGTACAGATTCTAAACTTGAAAACAAACTTTTAATTTATTTTTATGATAATGATTTTCTGTATACTACAATGATTATACAGTAGTTTTTAAAATTACAATGATTTACCTACAAATACTAAAAAGTATTATAAATTATGTATATATATTATATACATTTTTTGTGTTGCGTACCTACAATGCACATATATATACAAAATTTTTTAATAAAAAACTTTCGGTGTTAGGTACTTTCAACTTTTGTATCTGCATCACTTGAATTTGTATATTTCTTCGCCTTACTAACTTGATACGAAAGTGCTTTTAACATTCTTCCTTGATTCCTAATAACATATTCCTTATATGTACAATAACATGCCATAGCAAATGTTACTGTAATATAGCCACCAAGTGCTATATTCATAGATTTCCTTATTTGACTCGTGACTAAAAATCCTACTAATCCAGATATTATTCCTCCACTGATACCAGTTATAAAAGCATTTCTCTGACACCGTGTTTTAATAACTGGTTCACCAAAAATTGTAAAAGGTACTTTTACAGTTTCTTCTTTTGTATCACTAGAATGCTCCATAGCGTTAATTGTGATTTATATCTTGAAAACCAATATTTTATTCATGTAACCTCAACAAGAACCGCATTGTACGCCACCTTAATAAATTTATAAAATAATGTACAAATAATGATAGTATGTTAGGTAGCACCACTATAAAATTTTGAAAATACTAGTGTGTACGTTTAAAATTATTATAAGAAATTATTGGACGAAATTTTTGCTTCGTTCCGCAGATAACTTTATGTGTTCGTTAGGTCTGATCGGAGTAGATTTTATAAATTAGTTAGTTATTTTATTGTTTTCTTCCCTTCAGGAAAGATGGCGCTTAAGATATGAAATAATCCCTATATTGTCCAGTGGGCCTATAAACTACTAAGGTACAAACGTTCAACAATGACTACGTTTCCATCGAGGGTCCAAATCGGGTCAGAGTCGGGTTAGAGTCGGGTTGGGGTCAGCGCTTGTACGGTGGAAACGCCAAAGGTTTAGTTGAACTCTACCCTACAAAATTTTAGGGTAGCGTTCAGTTGAGGTTCGGTGGCAACGACAAGAGTCGAGTTCGTGTTGCCAACATAACAAATCCAAATTGCATTGTGTATCACGTGCTGTATTAATCGGTGTAGAAGAGGTTACTATTACTTTTTGTCGGTGATCTTGTAATCTGAGAAATAATTTTTGTATGTTATTTTGATATTCTAAAATTAATATTGCTCAGCTTTATATGTCAGAATATGGTAGTTGACTTTGTGCAGTTGGTAATGTTCAACCCTGCCGCAACTCCAACCCGCGACTCAAACCCGACTCTAACCCGACTCTGACCC